GTTTGTTGTTAGGTCAACCCTCATACCTGGGTGAGTTGCTGCAGAGGCACAACATCGTGGACAAGAAGACGGTCCCGCTGCCAAAGGATGCTGTACCTCCTCCAGAGGTGGAAGAAGGGGTGACGGCGGAGGAGATCAAGAAGGCGCAGGGCATCGTGGGGGAGATCCTGTGGGTGGCCATTCGCAGTCGGCCTGACCTGTCCTATGCCATCAGCGCTATGGGAAAAGAGGTCACAAAACGGCCGAGATGGGTGCTTCGGGTGGGACAACATGTTCTGGAGTACTTGAATGGCACGATGGACTACTTCCTGCACTATGTTCCCTGTGGACCTGGTGATCGTGGACCTCATGGTGATCTTCCTCTGGAGCGCTCTACATCGTTGGTGGAGCTCTTCAGTGACATTTCGTATGCCCCGCAAGGGGAGAAAAGTGTGCAAGGCATCGTGGCGATGATTGCGGGCGCTACTGTGCAGTGGGAAACTTCCAGGCAATCGTGCCTGGCATTGTCAACGGCGGAAGCAGAGCTGTACTCCTACGTGGAGGCCTTAACTATGGGGGATTCGCTGCAGGCGCTGTGGACGGAGGTGCATGGAGAGACGCCGGAGATCGTCACTTATGGCGACAGTCAGGCTGCCATCTCCATCGTGCGCAATCCGGATGGTCCATGGCGTACCAGACACCTTCGACTCCGAGCTAACGTCCTTCGAGAACGAGCTCAACAGGGGCGATGGAAGATCTTCCACATGGCGGGCACGCAGCTAATCGCCGACTACCTGACCAAGAGCATCACGGTTCGAGCTTCCTGGGACCGCTTCCGGGCGTTCACCAACCTCCTGAAGGTCGAGAACCTGGGTGGGGTGGCTGCGGATGATGGGGAGGGTTCGCAGGACGCGGTGGAATCCATGGTGCGGGTGGCGAAGCTTGCTGCATGTTTGGCTGGGTGCGCGGCTATGACCTGGCCTTCCTACACTGCAAAGGCGGCGGTGGCAGCGGCGCTTGCGATTGGGCTGGCCTATGAAGTGAGCCGGGGTTTTAGCAAGGGTTTTTGGACGAGGGACCAAGATCCGGGGGAGTGTTCAACCGTGTCAGATAGGGAAATTCAACAAGAATTGAGATCTACTGAACACTCCACCCGGTTGCAACCTCGTTTGTGTGCCCTGCGGCCTTCGCCGGCAAGGGAAGAACAAGACCAACAGGGGTCAGAACAACGGACCAGTCAAGAAAACATAAGAAATGTTCAAGAGGCCAGAAACTCATCGGCGTCGGGCCGCACGCCACCTCCAGGGGAACGTGTCTCGGAAACTGAAGGACCTGGGGGTTTAGACCGTAGCCTAGAGGCTCCCAACTCCACTGTGTTCGAGGTGGAGGCGGCGAACGCGAGCCATGGTGTGTGGGGTCGCATCCAGATGAGGCTGCCTGCAGTCTTCCGAGGTGGACGCGAATGGCTTGGAGGAGATGCAGGGCAGCCGGAAGAGGTGCACTACACGAACAGCAGGGTGACGCAAGAGGCTATGGACGCAGGCACCTACGACATGACAAGACCGCCGATGGTGGTCACCAGTGAGGGCATCCGGATGTTGTGGCCTGAAGAGGTGGACATGGAGACCCAGACGATTCGCCTCATCCCAAATGAACGGCTGGTGGTGAAGTCTCCGCCACCTGCAAAGCGGCCTCCGGTGCCCCCTCCTAAACAACCTCCTGTACCCTTTCAACCGCGTGGCTATGGGGGGGCTACATCGAGTGGTTCTTCAAGGCCGAGTGAAGCTGCTGAGCGAGGGCAGGCGGCGATGGCATCTTCAAAGGCGATGGGGACTGCTATGGGGCACACTTCAAAGGCTGCGGGAACCACTCTCCAAGGGGTTTCTAAGTCGGCCGCGGCGGCGAGGAGTTCGAGCTCGACGGGACCTCCTACGCTGGAGCGAATGCGGCAGCCGGCAACTGACAGGCCGTGGAACAGGCCTGGGAAGGTTCCACCGGCGCAGCTTTTGATGCCGGTTGGGGGCATGATGGATGATCAGCTGGAGTTCCAGAACTCGGTGTTTTGGACGCCTGAGATCTTGAACCACGTGCAGGATCTCCTGGAAGAAGAAGCGTTGTTCTACAAGCCAACGCTCAAAAGTGACAGGTGGGATCGCCTGACTATGGATGGCTGCAGGTGGCTAGTTCGCTACCATGGAAGTGCTCGTGTACAACGCTTTCATCCTGAGCACCGCAGCTGTCCTGAAGAGATCGAGAACCTCGAGTTCATGAGGATCACGGTGGCATGGAAGGGCACCGAGTGGCATCGACGCATCGCCATCGATGGTGATTGGCGCAGAGCTGAGCTGCCGGGACCAGGCAGCTGGGTGGGATATTCTTTGTTCCTGATCCAAAACGGATCACGGCAGATGTGAAGACGTCCTGAAAAGGACGGGGGGGAGTGCGGATCTTGAAACAGGACGCACAAAACGAGAAGTGTACAACTAGGTACACGAAACCACAGGCTTAACTGCCTGCGTGTTTGGCTCAAGAAAACAAAGACCGCTTTTCGTGAAGCATGAAATTAAATACCTCGGAGGTGAAGCTGGAAACGAAGGTGTTCACCAAGTGAGAAGCCTCATGGTGGAAGACATGCAGTTTGGGAGGGGGGGCACTATATAAAAACACGAGGTTTTTGGGACCCTCCAAACCGGGAGGGGTGGGTGTAAGTTCTCTCGCTGGAGGGATGATTCATGGACCTCCGAATAACCTTGCTGCATCGGTGTTCAGGTTGCGTCGGTTCAAGGGCTTCGTGTGGCTTGGGATATCGTGGGCTCGCCGATCATGCGTCAATGGTTGGTAATGGTAAATGATGGCAATGGGTCATGGGGTGGGATGAAGATTCTTGGCTTCAGGGAAGTTGGAGCTACTTTTCATGCAAGAATGGCTTTGGAAAGAGACAGCGTTGAGTCGATCATACAGGTCAATGAGACACCAAGTTTTTGTTTGTGTTTGGTTGGGACAAAATGCATAAACCATGGCAACAGAGAAAAGAGGTTCTTCATCAAAGGACTAAGGGATCATGAATCATGATTTTGAGTTGCCATCGCTATTAGGTTGGAGGCCATCGCTAGTGAGTTGGAGGCCATCGCTATTAGGTTGGAGGCCATCGCCATTAGGTTAGGGTGAAGCACGGCCAGGACCCTAGCCTGATCATTGTGAACACTGCCACCTTCGAAAGCGCAAGAGCACCGAGAGTTTCAGAGGGGTGTCGGGGCACAGGGGGCACAGGCGTACAGGCGCTGCAGAGCTTGAAATGGCGGGACTGGCAGGACTTGGACTGGCTACTGCAAGCTACTGCTCTTGAATGCAATTCTGACCTGCAGCATCCAAATCCACTCTATAGACTCTAGACAACTCATGACATCTCTATAGACATTTTTGCAGAGCGACTGCTAATTCCAAGGCTGGAATTTTGGTTGCGCGCCCCCGAACAAATGGTTTGTATCGAGGGGGAAAAAGCGCAACTTGCAGTGTTGGAGGCCATCGCTATTAGGTTGGAGGCCATCGCTATTAGGTTGGAGGCCATCGCTACTAGGGTTGAGGTCCTCACTAGTAGGCCCCGTCGAATCGATCCTGAGGCGCGGATAGAGCCGAAGGGGCCCAATCACATGACCTTGGTTGCTTGGAGCCAACCTCTGCGCTCGCTGCCAACTCCTTCGACCGCGCTCGGGGTGAAACGAGTCGATTCGGGGTGGCTGAAGGTCTTGGGGCTCCCAACCTGGGAAGGAAATGGTTTCGTCACGGCACCTCCCCCAACCCAACCGTGACCTCCTGAACATACAGGAATTGGTTCATTTTTGGAGGTCAACCAGGGTGGCCGGGTTTTGACCCACAGCCACATCTCCCAAAATCCGTGCAGCTGTAAGTGTCGGAGTTCCGCTTTGATCCAAAGTGATCCTTTCAGTCGAAGGTGGTGGTGGTGGTGGTGGTGGTGGTGGTGGTGGTGGTGGTGGTGGTGGTGGTGGTGGTCTCTCTCTCTCTCTCTTTAGAGTTCTTCAGAATATAGAGGACCTCCTATGTTGCTTTGAGAGCTGAAGAGGGGTTTTAGTGTCCAAATATTTAAACAGCATCAAACATCATCACAAAGAGAGAAACATGTTTTTTTTTAAGCATGGCTATATAAACCAGACCTTCGTAGCCCGGTGGATTTCCAAGAATGTATATGAATTGTCTTGTGATGTGTTTGTGTGGGACAGTTTTGTGATTTCTCCGCTGCAGTGTTTTGATCGTGTGTTCCTTGAGCACTCACAGCTAGCCGGACAAAACAAATCCACCGCCAGTCAGTGATATCAGTGATCCTTGCGTTCCAGCTGCTTTTTTTGCCAGCATCCATCGCCCCCAAACCTGGGTTCCAACCATTGTGTCACTTGGAATAGATGGAAAGAAAGTGTTCACATGTCAGAATAAGTGATTTACCACTCCATGCTTGGAGTGACTCAACAAAAAGAGTGTTTAAACATACATATAGTCGTTTCAGCTTACGTTATTCTGAGGACAAGTACAAGAGCTTGTTCTTTGCAGCATCTTCGGCGGCCTAAGGGCAAGGCTCCCACAGGCAGATTGGCTTCGATGACTTTTTTGAACGATTTGGGCAAGTGCTCGGTTTCCAGACGATTTTAGAGGTCAATAGTCAATATATTCCTTTGTTCTGGTGAAAAGCGTAGAAGTGTGCAAAATGAGGGCCGGAATGTGAAGAGCCACAAACGGTTCAAACGCACAAGCCACCACTAGACTAGATGTGGCCTGCACAGTGGTGGGCTCCACTCTTAGTGGTGCCCCCTCCGAAGTCCGAAACTCTCCCAGGCTGCCGCGCCAGTGGCCATAAGGCCTGTGGACCGAGAAGTGACTCCAGACCGTCGGCGGAAGACGAAAAGGGACCAGCGGCTCGCGTTCTGCCGGGTGTGCGGCGCGGCGCAGCCGGCCGGGAGATGGATCTTGGCAAGGTGAAAGCATTGCCATGTCACGACTGTCTCGCCAAGGCATGCCTTCATAGGCCTCGGCTTTGAGGACCGGGTGTCTGAGATGATCCAAGAGCCATGTTCTTTGGCTTGGATCTATAACTACTATTTTTTGAAAATATACATATATATATATATGTAACTATATATATATAGGTGCATGTGCATGTTGGTTTCAACATACACCATTTTGAGCTTATAGTTCATTTCTAACTAATTAAGGCATTTCAAGAAAAATACCTTCTCCAGCACCAGTGTCTGGACTCTCGGCCACCATCCCCCATCACCTTCCTGACCGCCCACTCCTGTTCCGGACCGCCATCCTGACACGTGCTCTGAAAAACGCCAAAACAAGCCCTAAACCGTCCCTGGAAAAGACCTCGTTCAGGATCGGAACGACGCCTTTGACTTCAACTGCACCTTGGCGGATTTCAAGTCTACATGGATCGACCGAGAGAAGGACCAAGTGAGCGGCGGAAGGCGTTCAGCCGGCGTGTCACAGGTCTGCTTGTACATGGGTGACATGAGTGGAAACTCATCTCGGATGCGTGTGTCTTCTCCCACATCTAATTGCCTCAGGTGGAAGACATCAAAGCCTGGAAGACGAACTGCTTGGTAAGACAGTTCAAAGAGCTCTTTGCAGATCAAATCATACCAACACAATCTGTTTGAAACTGTCTTGTGATCCTTGCTTTCTTTCTGGTATGGCAACGCATCAAAGAAAGGAGACATAAGGAGACATCAAGTTTTCAAGACTTTCCAAAATTTCCGCGCATCTCCGCAGTTTCAGTCACGCGCCTGTTGAATTGACCAAAACGGTCCAAGCAATGGTTACGACATCCCAGCGTTTGCGACGCCGCGCTTAGCTCACGCGGCGTTCCGCGCGCGCAGGAAGCTGAGACCCCACAGCCGGCTGTGCCCAGCAAGGCGCCGACCTTGTCGACGGCGGCCGTCGGGGTTCGGGTTCAGGCCGAGGGTCGGCGGAACCACGGTTGGGCGCCATGGTGATCGGGTTGAGCTGAGTGGAATATGGAATACATCCTTTTAACCACCCAGTCTGGATGGTTATTAGATGGAAAAACACATCTTGGGGATCCATAAACCACCCGAACTGGGTGGTGCTGGTTATACACATGTTATTTGTATGGAAGATGAAGTCTGTATAGCTGCTACGTGGCAGGCAATATGGAGTTCATTGGAAGTTGTTGGACGTGAGTCTAATGTGAGTTCGAGCTCGCACGAATTACCTCAGACAATGTGCTTTGTGTTTGGAACCGCTTGACTGTAGCCTCAAATACTTGCTGAGGGCTGCAGGCTCCATCAATATGTAGCTGAATGTAGCTTTTCTGATCAAAAATGTTATTTTGGGTCTATGCCCTATGCCAGTGTTTGCACCCTTCTTGATAGGTACTTAGAGCCTTTGGGTAGAGACGGTGATTTGTGGAGTGTCACAACGTTGCATGTGCTCACCTTCACTTTTGCGGCCCCATTGCGCCTCCGTCTCATCACTTTTGGTGGCCCATTCTCGGGTTTGACATGGTCTGGCCTAGAGAGAAACCACGGCAGCAGCAGTTGCACTCACCACCTCACCAACATAGAACTAGATGGCATGGCCCTTTTGCTCAGACCATGAAATCCTCTATAAACCGGTCGAAACCGGTGGTGCCATCCATGGTCCATGTGATGTGTAGGTCCAGTGTAGGTCACTTTGCATGTCCGGCCTCCATGAGACGACTGCCAGGACCTCTCACTGAAAGAGGGCCTGAGAGCCCAGCGGGGCAGGGACGAGTGGCACTGATCTATAGTTCTGCCGCAAACGCACATGGAACATCATGAAACCTGAGAAGAGAAACAACTCCCTTATGAAAGTTCATTCATTTTACTTCTTGGCAGTTAATGGTCAATAATTCTTTGTAAGTCGACGGTCATCTTGGACCCTTGTCCATGTGTTGGACCCTTGTCCGAATGCCAAACCAGCGGTTTTGGAGGGTCCAATGAGTCCATGTGATGTTTGTGACTCACCGAGCCTCCTGTGTTAGTGAAGCTCGCCCCTCAGAAGTCCGTCAGTTGCTGTGTCAGTGAAACCCAAAGCTGGTCCACTGAGTCCAATAGGTGTGGATTTTTTGAGAAAACCGACCATCGGGGTTGCACGACAGTTTGGAGGTTTGCGACTGAGACTCTCAGCACCGTGTAAAAGTACTGAGTATGAAAGTGACGATCATCAGGATATGAGACCTCTCAGCACAACCAAAGTCTCAGGTCAGACCATCAAGATCAACTTGCCGGGCGGAAAGAACCGCCGGCGAGAGGAGAAAGTGGAGGTGGTTTGCCCAAACCCGGGCGACACCCCGTTTTTTTGCTTTTTTGTCGGGCGATGTTGCGTTGTTTCTGGTGGGTTCAGGGATTGCGCAGGGAAGCGCGGTCTTGAGGTGATCTCAAGATTTAAGCGGTTCTTGAATAGGCAAGATTGGATAGCACTTTGGTGGAGGTTTGGTGTTGTTCATAGTTGTGCGGTCAACTAATTTTGGCAATTCGTCCATGTCATGTCTTTACATGACGTGTGAGATGTTTCATGATGTTTCCATGTCTTTCTGAGTGGGAGGAACTGTTGTGATGAGAAGTGATCTGATGTTGACATCGAAGTTTCGCAGGTTGCTGGGAGTATGTGTGCCTGATGTTCCACAGGCTATCTCACAAGAGCACAAATCGGTGAGACTGGAGAACACACCCTCTCTCACATTATAAAAAGCTTGAGTCATCTCCTGGAACACTCTGAGTAATTATCACGAAGACGTTTAAATCTGTAAAACCAGGTTGGAGGACATCGCTATTTGGTTGGAGACCATCGCTATTTGGTTGGAGGCCATTCCTAGTAGGTTGGAGACCATCGCTATTAGCTTGGAGGCCATTTTCAGTACATCTGCAAAACCAGGCCCACCCACTTCTGTCAAACCGCTCTCCGCTCTCCAGTCTGGCTACGGTGGCGGCATTCTGGCGTCCGGCGCTCGGTGTTTTCGAACCGGTCCGGTCGAACACGGTCGACGAGTCCCTGTGGGTTCCCGGTGAGTTTTTTTTGCATGTTTCAACATGTTTGAACACCTATAGAGGAGGTTCCCTCTATAGAGGTTCCCTGTATACAGGTTCCTTGTGGAGGTTCCCTGCGATTTCCCTGTGGGTTCCCCTGGTTCCCACAGTTCCCTGTGATCCACACGGACCCGCTCGCGCAGTCGCCCACGTCGCCGGCTTCGTAGGCCGCCTCCGAGCGGTGGCTCCAGGCGGCAGGCGACCCGCGCCGCCTTCGGGGTGGCGTTTTTTTTTTGGTGGAAGGAACAGGGGGATGAGGTGGCAGGAAGAGAGAGAGAGAGAGAGAGTCTGTGTGTGTGGTTTTTGGCGGGGTTTTGGAGGAGCCTACGAAATTTGGTGAAGAGTTGTTGTGACCCTAAGATGGTTTGGCAAGATTGCGGAAGCCCGAACGAGCTAAGAGAATAAACAGTTGTTTGAGCTTAAATTTTGGAATGTCCGGCGGGTCATGCAGCATTTGTGTGGATGGCATGATTATATAGACAATGAGGAGAATTCCTGGAGGTCATGACGGTCAGTGTTCATTCTTTTGTCTTCTTGGATTACACCTATGGATAAAGACAGTACCGAGTGTGTAGGGAGAGTCTTGCAGCTCTTGGGTGTTTGAGCTAAACAGCTTCCTGGAGGTTCGTTCCTCAAGGGTTCCTCATACAGTTAAGGGTTCCACCCAACTACCCAAAGACATGATGACATGAGAACCCGATGGGAAAAGTCCTTCACGGGATTACATCCCTAGAACCTGAGTGATCTCTGTTTTGGAGTCAAAACTCAAACAGAGGTCATTATAATATTAGGGTTCTAGATGGTTCTAGGACCGGTTTGTTCAACAGAACGTGATCCCCCCCGAACATGTATTTGGGAACCCCGCGAATGGTTGGCCCGGTGTTGTGGTCCAAAACATGAAACAAATTGTTGGTTCTTCTATCCTGGTTCTTCAAAGTGACCTTTTCATCCCGTTGGCTTGAGGTCACCAACGGGCCTGTTTTCAAGGTCACGTTGACAGGGACTCCAAAAGAAGCTGGAGAATTCAATTGATGGTTGGTCGAATTCCAGGAAAACTCGATTTCTTCGCAACTTCTTAATCCGCCCCAGGCGCCGGCGCCGGCGGCAGCTGCAGCTGCACCTGTTGCTGCACCTGCCGTAGCCTGGAGGGCAGAGGCGCGCCAGCCTGGAGCAAGGGGGATTGAGGATCAAGAAGCTGCAATGTGGAGCAGTATCACTGCTCCACTCAAGGACTGTTTTGATATATGTTTTATTACCATTCGACACCAGTCCCATGAAAAAAAAGGTGAACAAAAAAAAAACAATGTTAAATCACTCAGAATTGTTGTACACCACTTAGTCTTTTTGTCCAGGCGTTATATAAAGGACACACACACACATGACATGAACTTCCGTATGCCCGGCGCTCCCCAGGCCCCTGGAAACGACTTCTTCGGTGACTTCCATGACTTCCAGGCACGGTGTACGGGTGGCGGTGGACCTGAACCGATGGCGGTGGGACCTGGACCTTCCAAGAACGAATCCCTAGGGATCCGGTCGTAGGTACCGGTGAGGACGGAGACACCAGTTATGTAGGTGCCAGGGTCGGGTACAGGGAGGGTCCCTTCGAAAGTACTTCAATGCGTAGGAAATTATTTGCTATGAGAGCTGTTTGTCTATCCAGCACCCTTGAAAATAGAGGTTTCCAGAAACCACGCTTGTGGCAAACATTCTAGGCTGGGTTGCCTATGGTTGCCTTGTTTTCTCGCTTGAACCTTCAACTTCCCCTCACCCAGCCAAGTCTTGACGAAAAGCTTTCGGACAGCAGATGATCCTTCCCTGCCATGGATCCACTGCTACCTTCGGCAATTGGAGCCTCCTGGCGCCTACATCAATCGGTCTCCAATCCTCGTACCGACCTGGTTCGGTGGGAGTGGATCCATAGGGCTGAACCTTTCCCAGGTCACCAGGACATCCTTCCCGCGGACATGTCGAGTCCACGAATCAGACGTCGTGCCGGGGAGGGACGTTGAAACTGAGGACGTCGACGACTGAGGAAGTAAGAGAACACCGGATGAACGAACTTGCGGACTGTCTGTTCAGGCGCGCCTCCACACTCCCCCCTTGCTAGATTGTATAGCGGGTAAAGGTGGATGTTTGCAGTGAGACTCGCTACCGGAAGATACGTGAGACCAAAGAGAAAAGAACTCTGTACACTACGAATGCAACTGGATACGAACCGCAAGATGCTAGCATTCCGGCATGAGTCGAAAACACAAAACTGATCATCGTGAATTAGCAGGTAATGAAGAACCTAATTAGGGCCAGGGTGTGTAACCAGGTCGAAATCCTTTTTTCTGAATAGGTAGTAACGAATATGTTGTGTAAACTTCTCCCGTTTTGACATAGCGATCTCCCGCCAGTTGATTGTAAAGCCTCCAAAGGGCGGGTTGATTGATCAAGAGTACATATTATTAATATAATGCATCATATCCAAACAGTTTGTCCTCCCAGTCCCTCCCAGGCTGCGCCTGAAAACGGAGGTGCTCCGGCTCCGCGTGGTCTTTTTGTGCGTTTGGCCGGTTGCTACACGTAGTCCCTACAGGTCAGTTGGGTCTCATGGCCATACATGTTCATACTAAGGATACTAAGGACGATGGACAAAACCCTTCCATCAGCTCTTTCGTTTGAAGGATCTTACGTTTTGAGCCGACCGCAGTCACACCAAACGACATACTATATAATGCCTCTTGTCCATCGAGCAATCCCGCTTTGAACCCAAGCCCATCCAAGAACCATGTGCAGTAAATAATAACTGTGAATTCGAGCTGGATCCGAATTGCCTCGAAAAGTCAAGTCTTCCCTGCAAAAGAACATCCTACATTGCAGGAAGAAGCAGACACTCCATTGTCAGATTGGAATGGATCCAAATGGCATCAAACGACCATTTCATTTGTATTTGGTGCTGTTTCCGCTGCACTCAGCGGCTTGCTTGGTAGATCTCGCACGTCGCGCTGGCACACCCTTTTTATGGGTGACTTGGGTGCCAGGATCTGGAAGTACCCCACAGGCGCTGGTTGGGATGAGGAAATGAGCCAGAAGGGATGGTGCGAAGCGGTTTTGTAAGCGGTTAAGTGATGTGTATGAAAACCTTCCTGCTTTGTTTCACTACTATTCCTCACTAAAGATGCACCCACTTGCCCAGAGAAACCTGTCACCTGGTTCAACCAAACTTTCCAGGTGTAGTTAGCCAGTGGATGTCCAAGATGTTTGGGATGAGCACAGCTGTGTGAGGCCCTTGGTAAATCAGATACTGAGGCCGACGTGACACAAAGAAGGGCCCTAGCACGATGCTTTTCAGCACGAATTCAAGACTTCACCACGTGTCCCGTCAGGCTGTTTACTTCTAATCTTACTTCATGTTACTTCACTTTTAGGGGTCACGACTATAGATTGCGATAGATTGGTGAACATCGGCCGGTGGTGCTCAACATGATGTCATGATATGTCATGTGTTCGCCGCGGGCTTCGATTTCATGTTCATGATTTCAACCACGCGATCGTTGGTACGTTCTTAAATGTTCCTCCCTTGTATTGGCTTTAGCATGAATCCTGCTCTTACATATAATGCCTCATATAAAAAAGATAGATATAGAAAGGTATAGGTGTACAGAATACTTCAACATCTACGACCTCGGCGCCACGACGTCGCACCCAATCCGCGAAGAGAGCGATTGGGCATTCGTCCCTCCGCGAGGCGGACCCCTTTCCAGCCGACCCCTTTGCAGGCGCCGTCCGCATCGGAAACTAAGCTCTTTGGTTAGATGTCCCCCCGGTAGGTAGGGGTAGGGAGAGGCGACGTGGGATTTGCCACGAAGACCACTGAGCCGAACATGGTGGTGAGTGGGATATTTACAATTGAACCGTGGAAATGACCCTTTTGGAATCCCTGTTTGTGATTTTGTTGCAGGCCTGCTGCATGCTTGTGGCCGATTTAATCAGGGGATCAAGTTCCCTCACTTTGAAAAAACCAGGTTCATATAGCTTGGATATGCTTGGATTGACTGACCGGTTCCATGGTTTGGATGATGTAAAAAGTTCCGGCAGAAGGGGGTGTGCCCCCCCTGACGGGGCCTCAACTGCACTCAGTCAAACATGCCCATGACACTGGCCCTTAAAAGCATGCGTTCGAACCTTTGACTTGTGAACCCAGTCAAGAGTGCTACAGTGAGATCACCAATAATACCGAACGTCTTGCAAAAAGCCACTGACTATCCTTGTGATGAAATGTGATGGATTATGGAATAGAAAACACATGCATGCTCAGGTCATGACCCAACCTGAGCTGCTCAACTCCCTTTCGACTGCCCTGGAGACGCCTCCCGTTGTCCCCAGCTCATGCGCGTCGTCAGGGCCCTTGAGATCGCCTCAGGCGCAGAGAGTCTGGCGCCGACCCAGACGCGACCCGATGGACGGTTTGCCATTTACCATACATTGGGGTGGTTGTCGGGTTGATTTGGGGTCAATGTGGGCATATATATATATATACACCAGTCCCATGGAGTGTTTGGGATAGAATGGGCCATTTGTTACCTTTCCCAGACGCTCCATGTACTGTATGCAGATATGGTCTACTATTTGGTGGTTTTGGGTGGTAAATGTAGGCCATATTATGCCATATTTGCAGAAGGAGACTTCTTCAAAGAGTTGCCTTTTTTTCCAGGAACCCTAGGCATATCCCATTCCAAGGACCTGTCAAAGTTTGTCACTCTTCTTGGTTAAAGCTTACCACCAATCATGGTGATCACTGTACTTTTGCTATATAGGAATATATGAAAACATTAGATCGGATCTATGGATAGATCTATAGATGCAATGTACTGGTAAGAAGAGATGCAAGAAGCCTTTTGTTTGTGTTTTAAGGAGTTGGCACTCAACGTTTGACCTGAGGGTTTTGCTATAGGAATATGAAGACGTTGGTTAGATCTATGCTATATAGATCCAACTCCTGCAACTTCAGCGACTTCTGTGACGTTCCCCTCATCCAGACTAAAAAAAGCAAGCCCAGGCTTTGTGGTATCGCTTGGCCGCCCCTATGTTTAGTAGAAAGAGTCGGGCGATGTCAACCGATGTTGACCAAAAACCTGACCGATTTGACCTTCGGCTTCCTTTGGCCGATTTGCAATGAACACCATCTAACCTAACTAAGAAGAACACACACATACACACAGGTCTTGCACTAACTAGATCGTAAAGGATTTTGCAGTTTTGGCATCACCCCTATGCAAACAGTAAGGCGAAGGGTCAGAAAACAATATGATTTACACCCTGGAAGATTAACATGGAACCTGAAAACCACTGGGTTATAGAGGAAAATAGTCTTCCATTTTCAGGTTCCATGTTAGTTTTCCCAGATGTACACCATCAACAAATTAAATATAGTTTGCAGGTCCAGTTTCATGCGTCCATGAACTCTGAAGACCGAACTCTTCCATGAACTCTTCGTTGGGCAAAGTAGGGTCAGAATGGTCGTTGGCCCCCGAACAGGTCTTAAACTATCTTAAAATTCACATGTAGGTGTTTGAATCCCTTAGAGACAGGAGTTGACACAGAGAGAGAGAGAGAGAAGGAGAAAGGGAGACGCGTGCGAAGGCACCCCTGGACGCCCCCGGACGTCCGCCAGGCGTCGCCTGCGCCCGCGGTGACCTCACCTGTGCGCGACTCCGATCCCTTTGGAGGCGGATGGCGGACGGATCGCGGTGAGATCGATGGGGCCGGGGTGGAGGAGATCGGTCCATCGACCCATCGACGGTGGTTGGTGTAGAGATGATCATTAGCGACATCGGATTCTGTGTTGAGTTATTGGTGCACCCAGTGACTCAGTTGGACCAGTATCCAGGGTTGGAGGGACAACCAATGTTCGAAACAGAGTGAACTAACTGATTGGCCAGTTGTTAGACGTGTTCATCCATTGTTGGTTTTGATTGCTTCGTGCTGGCACTTATGTCAAGCTGCATGACTACCCAAACCCGATCATATAGATTTAAACTTGTTTTTCAATGTGGTGCGACAAAAGGCGAACGATGTTCATATTATCATAATCTATCACAATCTATCATCCCTATGGATCCACTGCCACCTTCTCAGAAGGCAATTGGAACCTCCTGGCGCCTACATAAATAGTCTCCAATCACCTTCTCGGGTTCGGTATGTGGATCCATAGGGCATGAATGGTTTGTCCTTTTCCGCCAAGCCAACTATTTTGGGGGAAACTAGTTGCAGGAAGGACTCGATGGTGTGCGGACACAGACCAGTCCGCCGTTTCGTTCGGTTTTTCAACAGTTGTTGACTCGGTCAGTTGTTTCTTCTACCCGCATCCAACGCCATTCATTTGTTTGGAATATAGTTATATAACCCCATTTGTGACCCTAGTGGAAGTAACTATTCCAGTCTGGATGGCTTGTGAATGGAGATTTGGACCTGAATGTTCACAGAGTTGGGCATGGCACAGCTCAAAGGAGGACATTGGCGATTCAGTCGATTCGCCGTCCATTGCAACGAAACGATGTGTCTCGTGTCCTCCCGTGAAACAACACATCCTCGTCCTCAACATCATACAAGGGGCTCACAAATCCTAGGCCTCGTACCTTCTGAAAAGGTGGGACTGGGGTGGGTGCCAGGAGTGTCCAGCCAAATAAATTTGAAGTATACTTGGAGGTCTACCGGAGCGATTCGACCCGGCCTTCGTTCGGCATCGGAAACTCCAGGTCCTTCTAGATCGCCTCAGGCTGCGACGTGGAATTGGGTGGCACCATGGGAGGAGGGGGGTGGCCGCTATAGTACACCACATACGTGGAAGGGCCTTGCAAGGACGGTGCGGGTGACGGTGGCTGGTCCGCAAGTGGGGGTGGGAGGAGAAAGGTGCTTTGGCCGTTTTTTGGTTCGCATTCACCGAGCAATCAGTCCACACCTGGACCGATCCAGACCGAGCAAAATGCCACACCGATCCTGTGAGTTACTCCACCCCGCTCTGAAGCGAGGTGAGCGCTTTGGGACTGCTCGGTCGTTCCGGGGTCGTTCAGGCGCCTTCGCCGGCCGCGGATCCCTTTGGAGGCGCTGATGGAAGTGCAACGGCATCAGTCGCATCAGTCAGTGAATCTAGGGATGATACGTTGGCTTTATTTGGGATAATGATTTTATTCGATACTATCCTAAATAGCCTCATTGGCTGCGAACGAAGTCAAACCATGTTGCCCCTCAAGAATGAAACCTTGCAGACCCAGTGCTGGATCATCTTATTTATCCCAGACACTCCATGGGACTGGTATATATAGCTACATCGACCCCAAGTCAACATCCTGAAACCAACCACCCCAATGGTAAATATACCAGTCCCATCGGTGTTGTTTGGGTGCATTGGGAGTTCAACCACTTATTGCCCCGTTTTTGCACGGACTACACACCTCGACCGGTCGACCGGACCGCGCTCTGAACAGCACCTGGTTAACAGGTGCTATTCATCATCAAAAGCAACCTGATCAGCTGTTTTGATACGATTTTTAGTGGTAAACAATTCTTGACTTCAGGTTTCTCCAGAGTACCTGCAATAAAACTCCAAAGGCCGTGGTTTGCAGTCGAACTCCTTTATTCTCATATTCACTCCACCGCGGTTTCGCGGCAGGTGCACCTGCACAGGCTGTGGGGGCGGGGTGAGAAGTGGTCAATGGTTTCGAAGCAGATGGTCATGTTGTTTTTCTCAAAGTCATTTGCTTCTCAGTGTGTATGATCCGACCATGCATTACCATGCTATTGTAGTTGGGTCATGATGTGTCCTTCGTCCAGACGTTGAGAGTCTGGAACCCATTGGAGACCTGATTGCGACGTTTGTCATGACGATGTCAAGTGAATATGTCGACCTCTCCGTTTTTTCTTGGGGACGTTTGGTGACGTCGGTCGTCTCATTCCGTTTCTTTGGATGGTCACCCCGTTGACAAACCTGACTAAACAATTAGGAACTGCTATACATATATAACGTATGAACAACAAAAACAGGAACAGAGTCGACAGGCGAACCTCGTAGCTGTGAACAGCACTGATTAAAAGCTGCTATAAAACAAACTCAGATAAGCACTTTGCTTCAGTACCAGCAAGATGCATGTCTCGATCCACATCGGTGGAAGTTGGGCTGAAGGAATGAACCAAGCTACCAGGACCTTCAGTACGTGACCCTTTGATATCCCAGGATGAGGTCACTTATGGTCTGTACAAGGTCACTTATTAGAGACTCTGTACAAGAGGTCACGTACTGAAGGTCCATCCGTAATGGAATTCATGCGGATCCCCGATCCTGCGATATCCTGTGGGATCGGACTCCATCTTGCCAGTGGTCCATCGGCTCAGACCGAAGATGCTTCTTCTCCCCCAGTGGGGATGGTCCGGGTGCAGAACACTATGCTGTTAATGTTGATTTGTGTTTTCATGCTTTTTTTCGCCTTCTGGCTGCATCCACCCTTTTTAGAGCAAGCAACAAAACACCACCGTCCGGCGAGAGGGGCGTAACCCCTGATGCTTCAGTAGTGAGCTCCCCAAAATTGGGGTTTCAACGCTCCGTCGGTGGTCCTTTCGCGCTTCTGGTTTCATCACCAAAAGCTAAGCTGCTTCTTCGAGCGCAGCGTCGGTCCAGGCACCATGGCCTGACTCATTTGGAGGACCGAAGTCGTTGGGAACGGAGGGAGGGTGGGCCAGCTGGGACGGACGGAGGTGCTATTTGATGTTTGATCTCATTAGGCTGTCTAAAGCCTGCGGATTCCTGCCTTCCTGCCTGCCTTTTGCTCTGTGTTTGGTCTTTTCTTTCTTTGTTTATTTCTTTTTATTGTTTCTTGCTTTCATTCTCTCCCCCGCTCTCTCTCTCTTGCTTTCTCTCTCTCTCTCTCTTGCTCTCTCTCTCTCTCTCTTTGCAGGCTTCTCCAGCGCTCCGGCAGCTGCACCGGTGCCAAGCTTAACTGACGAAAGAACGTCATACGCGCACAAGGTGGAGGAGGTGCGAAAAGATGGAGACTGCCATATACTGCCAGAACATGGCAAGCCTAAAAGCTTGCCACGTTGCTGGTGCGAATATGAGCGAGTGATGAGTGTTGGGAACATGTGAGTGTTGGGAAGATGTTTCGGTAGAATGGTGCATCATATTAATGCATATTTGTGAATGCCCTTGAGCAGTGCATTTGGTTGCTATGTCCTTCCCAAAAGAAACACTGTCCAAGAAGGCACCACAAAAACTGTGAGCTGCTGGGGTTGATGCCCCAAAACATACATATCAATGTCCAGTACCTCCATTCTTCAAAGTCGCACTGTGCCTCCTTAGAGGGATAGTTGAAATGGTCTCAAAGTCTTGCCATTGTTGCTTGAACTCCGACGAACACATCACATGGTGGACGTGGATGGCACCGCTCTTGTGTTGCAAAGGCGGAAAGAGGCGGGCGTTTTCCATCCGCGCCACTTGATCGATCCGTTGCCACCAGCATGGACGCCGGCCCTTTAAGGCACCGGCCTTCAAGCCAACAACGGCCGTTCCGGCCGTTCCGGCCGCGGTTCCGGCGGCGCAAGCGCCCATCAGGCACTGGGGGGGTGGAAACGCCAGATTCGGAAGAATGTGACAGCTGTCGCTGCGGAAAAAAAGGAATCAACAACACAGTACGTTTATTTATGTATAATGTATATCCATTGTATTTTATTGATGTATTTTGATATATTTTTTGGGGAGACGCTCGGAGACTGATTTCGCTATTTCCGAGATGAGGCTGCTTAACTCGTTACGTACGTTGCTGATCAGTGTGAACATTTAGCAGCGGTCACTGTCCCATGAGGTTTGTCAACCCAGTTACCAGCAGGATGGTCAAACACGAGGCAAAGTCATGATCAGTCACCATCTATATTACTTGGAGAACTCGATCATGGCACGAAACCGAAAGGAGAAACAACTGATTGAACAGATGATAACCCATGGGCAAAAGATAGGAACACATGGGAACAGACTGGAGCCAGATGGGAAGCCAAATATATGAAAAGGACTTACAAGATGAGAAACAATGCAACATCAATGAGAAACACCTCAACATAGAAAGAACTAAACAGAGGAGAATTCATGGAATAACATACTAGTAACGAGGGCATTGCTACTACTTGCTACTAGTAGTAATGCCATTGTTACTAGTAGCGATGCCAGGAGCTACGTTCGTAACGTCGTAGTCACCCCCCAGAGGCCGTCGCCTGCACGGGGCCGTGACCCCTTCGACGACCTGGATATCTTCAAGTGAGGCAGCGTCGAGACCGCTGCCAAAAAGGAGACATACCGGGCTCAGTAACAAGAAGCTACTAGTAGCTTCTTAATTACTAATAGCAATGCCCGTGTTACTAGTAGCGATGCACCTCTAATACTGGTAACAAGAAGCTACTAGTAACAAAGGGGTAGATGTTGGTTTAGGGTTGGTATTTAAGCTGAACTACAAATGGGCATGGTGAATACATGTGAATACACAAATACATATATAAGTGTTTGTATTTGTTTTGGTAGAACATGTAATACTTTTGCAGCAAGGTATGCAACATTTGCAGATCATTTGATTTACAGACTATAGTGCCCTAGGCTTGGCCCAAGAATGTGAAACAAAATGTCCAAGGTAACTGCGACAATCTGAGGATAGCAGCAGGATAGCAGATCATGGAGATGTACAAACATCAACAGCTTGGCCACTCTCAGGCCACTCTTTCCGTCTCCCGTGAGATTCTGCCAAAGTCGTTCATCTCACGGACTCGAGCGTCTCGCCAACAGCTTGGCCGAAGCCGACTCGCTTCCGTGTGCAAAGCCGCCCAGGTGCGTGTTGACGGAGTTTGCGTGTTGAGATGCATGATGGATTTAAACGGATCTCAGAGCCTATCATGCCTATAGGGTCTCAGGCTTTTGTGAATGTGTTTCATTCGCTGTCCAAGATGCTGCACAGAAAAAAAACGAACTAGTAACAAGAAGCTATTAGGTTAGAGGCTATCGCTATTAGGTTGGAGGCCATTACTACTAGTAACAAGAAGCTACTAGTAGCAAGGACGCTATTAGGTGGAGGCCATCGCAAGTAGGTTGGAGGCCTCGAAAGTGATTTTGTGTCGGAGGGACACCGATTTATGTTCTTAGAGTCTCTTTCGTGGAGATCCAATGCACCTTTATCCCTCGCTGGTTCGATCCTGAAGTTCAGCTCTAAAAGCCGGCCTCTTGAGGGGTTCACCAGGCTGCAGTGATCATGACCTTGAAGAAACAGACAAATTTCACTATAGATTCTAAATAGACATGGTTTGCTGTTTGATAAACATTTGTTTGGCTAGACCTTGACAACACGTTTGTGGTCTTTGTGCTTCTGTTGAAACCGAAAAAGGACCTCTTGCAGACGACGGAGGACCTCCGCTCAGCTCAACAAAAAGACAACGCACGGACGGCTGTCGCACGCGCTGCGAGACCGTACCGGGCCTCGCTTCTGACGGCAGTCGCTGGGCAGCAGGAGCGCGTGGCCGCAGGAGCGAGTGGCCCAGCTGTGGCCCAGTTGTGCGTGTGGAAGAAAGGACGCAAAGTGTGTTTGAATGGATAAGGACAAAAAACAACATAAAACGTGGTGGATGTCTTTGAGTCGACCCGGGCGGCAGTGGTAGGGATGCACAGCGAATTCGGGTGTTGTTTTTTTTTTGGCAAGCTTGTTTGTTTCTGTTTCCAACAGCAAGAAGATCTGAGCTTTGAAAGCTTAGCAACCTACTGTGTACTCCTGCTAGGATACTCACCGGCCTGGCATCATGGAGCATACACCCAAATGCATGAGGTCCCAAAGTTCTTCCAAAGATAGATGTTGATATTATGATATGTTCGAGAACCCCTTTAAACTGGTTTTGCCTAGCTGAAGGTCCTGTTCCCCTCAGAATTGATCCAGGTGTCCAACCCTTCCGCAGTGAGAAAGATACGCAGGTGCTTCGCCAAAAAAAGACGGCCTGAAGGGCAGGCTCGGCTCAGGGTTGGGAGCCTTAGTTCTAATCCCGTCCGAGAGGGGAGACATCAACTCCGAGCCACGGATGTGTTTGCTATTTGTGCCATTTGGCTCATGCCAGCGAAATGTCTGTAGTATATACTTCAGGGGTGTAAATCAAGGAGATGAACTAGGTGGTTCCTCGGCAAACCGTCGTTGGTAAACATGCTAAACGTGAAGTTCTGTTGATCAACTTTAGCCGATTGATTGTTCTAAGGGACAGAGACACAGACTTTGGCGCAAGAGAGGGGACGTGTAGAGCCCTGCAGATGGGTACCAAGTGCAACACAGAGTGAGTACTTGTGTGGACGAGTTTTCCTTGCATACTGGGTGGAACTAAAGTTTCTGAGCATGTTCCAATACGATGAAAACACGGTCACAGCATAGGTCGGTGGACTGTATTTAAACTAAAGAGAAATGAGAAATGGTTGATTCTGGAGAATCATCCCACGCACCGAAGGTCCAAGATGCTTGGAATGATGGTCCAGGTAGTCCAGTGCTTGAAACGTTGCACCTTCAATTTAAAGCAGTGGTCCACACTGGTCCGTCCATTTTCTTCTCGTAATAGCTAGGTATGGCTAATTCTGAGACACTCATGTGGATCTTCCAACTGTGCAAGCAAATTGCCATTTTTTAGAGCCAGCCAAAAAAGGCAGACATGTTCCACTGTTGGAAGACCAATAGGATCCTGGAAACACAAAGGTTCAACCTGCAGTTGACATGGGGCGACAGCTTCATTCCGCGGTGTTTGCCGCCTGCATGTTTAACAACCTCAAAGAGAGGAACCAAGATGCTGCCACTTTCACCTCAAATCGCCGATGTCCTCATCCCGGATTTCCTTTTGTTGCTGCTTCCCACCCTCTTCCCACGTCTTTCAAAACGATCTCCAGCTCCAGCCGAGCACCTCCCGTCCGCGACGTCCCCGTCCTCCGTCCTCCCCGGTTCGTCCGCGCAGAACGCGACGGACCCAACGTTGCCTTGGTGAGTCGTGCGACGACGCGGACCGACGCAGAGAAAGCGCCCAAAGCAGCGAGGGAACACGGCGTTCGGAACGTGGGAACGTCGGCAGGTCCCGTGTTTCACACAGTGTTGGTATAGAGAAGCCGAGGGTGGGAGGATTGGAGAAGAAATTCAAGGAAATGGTGGACATGTGCGAAACGCGTAAGGGCATGTTTCCTGTGAATCACTGCGACAAAAAACATATCAACTATGGACCTTCCAAAAACCTTCGAAAACGGGACATGACCCTCCAAAACAGGTATACTACTTTAGTTTAGGGCACTTTGAGACTCCATTGATGCTTTGCCTATTTGTGTTTCTTTGCGTTTATCGGAGTTGAAAAGAAGAAAACAGCGGTGGTCAAGAAGATCTGTTGATCCTGTGGATGTTTGGGCAGATCTACGTTTGGTGTTTGGTCCTGCATAGAAACCCTAAATTCTCCAATGTGTTGGACCCTCTAAATATATTATGGTTCTATAGTAGCCATTTGTTGTCTAGTCGAGACATGTTTGTTGAATGTACAAGGAATCCTTCACAATGAAAGCCGATAGCTTGGCATCATTCTGTGTATGTTTGATTCTGCTTCTTGGAGGGCAGAATCATGAAGGCATGCTTTGCATACCAGAGGGAACAAGTTGGTGTCAAATTTGTTGCCTACAGTAACAACAAAGTCTGGCATTTGAGATTGAACCCAAAGTATGACATGCTTTGACCAAGAAGGGTTCATGCCAGCCAATGCCAGCCATTGGCAGGGTTTGTGCCAACAGGCTGCCAACACCAGAGAGTTCATGGCCTGTGTTATTTCATGTTATTTCTCATGTGCCAGGACCTTCAAAGTGACCTCTTTAGAGTCTAAGTGACCTTGTACAGACCTGTTTGTGACCTCATCCTGGGATATCAAAGGGTCACGTACTGAAGGTCCTGGTGTGCTGGCTTCATTAAGATCTTACTCTGAGGTGTGTGAGTCTTGTGTATCTTGCGCCCATCAGTCCATCAGACACACTCTCCAGCCGTGGACCGTGTCGCACAGATGGAACCGTTCCGTGGATGGTGTGCACGACTGTAGAGCCAGAATAGGCCGCCCTTAGGGTTGATTCGCCACTGCGAGCCAGCTGATGTTGTGCACATTGTGAAATATACGTTACCCTCCGACGAACGCATCGCATTACAACATGGAAGTGGATGGAACCTCCTGTTCGTAAAGGAACAGTATAGCATTCCATTGGGACCATTCTCCACTTCCATGTTAGTCAGTCCGAGTGTAAACGGTGAGGATGCCAACATAGGCGGAATGGTGCCTGCCCATGAAGAAGCGCCTGACGCATTGGGCTCAAGGGAAGTCCAGCCACAGCCGGGCCGGCGGGGACGCCGCTGGGGGACCAATTTGGCCTCTTGGCATCTCAGTGAGTCAGGATGTTTGACCGTCAACCTCGCGCTCCGCCCAAAGTCGTTGTTGGGGTCGGGAGGCCCTGGGGTCCAACGATGATAAGTGAACCCTTTGATTTGGTTTCGAAACGGTTCATGTCAATTTACATCTCTTCAATGCAAATGGGCCAATGGGTTGGCTGAAAAGAGTGGCCAGTCGTGTGGAATCCCGATGGTTCCGACTGTGGGCCATGGTGGGCCATGCAGCCACGCTCGCAACACACTTGAGCCAAGTCTAAAGACTCAGTTGTAGTGCATGGAGAGTAGATGGCACAGACCCCCATGTCGGCGGTTTATAGGGACTCCTATCTGTTCAGGACATCATGGGGTGCCAGTGCCATCGTCTACCCTAGGGATCCAAGTACCTTCTCAAAAGGTACTTGGACCCTCCAAACCCACCCCAAACACTTTCTCAGAGGGTACTTGGATCCTTAGGGCTATATACTCTGAAACCGTAATAGAGTACGTTTCTGTATGACCAGGACCAGCAAAAAGAGATCCACGACCTCGGACTATGACCCACCAACCCACAGGGTCGTCCGCGAGGTGCTTTCGTCGACCTGGTAACGGAGCGAGTTGCCGTTGTTGTCCGTCGTTGTCCGTCTGGTGCCAGTGAACCACGGTGAACCACAGTTTCATACTGTCACCTCACTGTAGGAGTTGGGAGAATGAACACCAACCGCGATGAGTCCTCCTGACCTCGAAGAAGCCTGGGACGAGTTTAGTTGGAGGCCGTCGCTACTAGCAACAAGGACGCTATTTGGTGGAGGCCATCGCAAGCAGGTTGGAGGCCATGGCTACTAGTAACAAGAAGCTACTTACTAGGCAATGACAGACTCCGACGGACGCTTTTGGGCCAGGGTCCCCCATTTGTGGCGAAAAAGACGAACCGCACGAATGGCTTTTGGCGCTTATCCCGGCGAAGGCTCCGGTATGTGGGGGCGAGCGAGAGGGTCATGGCCTAAGGTTTTTTGAAGAAGAATCAGAACATCAGAATTGTGATGAATGAGAACGTTGTTTTCTTTGGTCAGATTTGGTCGGTATATATAGTTTGGTGTCATTTGGTGGTTGGGTCTTTTGTTGTGGCGTGGCAAAACTAGACGGACTTTGCATGCTTACGAGAAACCGCGTTCGATTGTTGTGTATGTTCAAGCAGTTTTGGTATTTTCATGCAATTTTTTGATAATGCATAGCCTTTCGAAAACGGCACACGATTTTTTGCACGATGCGGAGGTTCAAAAAACAAATGACATGCAACAATATGTATTCCGAAGGGAACCCGTTGTAGGGGCTGTATCTTCATATTTATTTCCAGGATCCAACCTATGAGTTCATGCCCTCATATTCCGTGATATGCATGAATTGTATGGGTTTCCCCCCAAGTTCCGGGCTTTCAGGCTATCATCTTCCTCCTTACTTGGATGAGCCTTATGGCTATCCACCTTATGCGCCTGGACCACAAGGCGGGTCTGGGCGATGTGATGGAAGGAACGGAACACGAAGGCTACCTACTCCCCCCCCCAAAAAAAAGACCGGTGGTTCGGTTGTTCCTGTGGGTTTTCGAAATTGATGCCAGATGTGGAGAGTAGATAGATATGATACATGGATGTAGTGTGTCCAGACTTCCAGATGTTCTTTGTTGAGGGGAGATGGATACGAAAACCCATTTGTGATCTTGTGAACCAAGCAGTGAAGAATTCGATTGGGAACCTGACACCAGGTTTGACCTGTGGATGTTCTGAGCCTTTGAACTACAGGTCGATCAGATCACCGATTTGACACGTGGGATTCTCATTGATTGGGATGGGCCTTGGGATGTTTCAAAGATGCCCATGGACTGCTGTAACAAGAAAGAAAGACCCGTGGTAGATCGAGTTTTGGGAGGTTTTGGGAGGTTTGTGTTGGGGGGGACCATGGGAGTACCATTTGCAGAGGAGATGCCATCTGCAGGCGTGAGATTGTAGACTACAGGTCCACCCAATCGGGTGTGGTTTGGGCGTTTGGGATCGTGCGCGGTGCGTGCGGTTTGGGCGGCCTTTTTGTCGGTCCTGGGTCAGAGAAATCCAAAAAGGACAAATACGAGTACAAACGCTAGAAACATGAACATAGAGTGACACAAGCTTGTTCTACAATAAATATGCAGAGCAAA